TTTGCCTGTGCCGACAGAATTGCCCGGAACCGAATAAACGCAACCCAATTGACGTCACGCAGCAAACACCAATGAAAGTCTAGAATTTGCTGCAATAGAAGAATATCTGGTGCACGACTAACGCAGCGGAAGAATATCCTAAAACTGTGCAATATCGACTGCTTCTGGGAGAATGCGGCACACACAATTTTATGCGAAGAGCTCTTACTTCTCTTTGTGTTGACTGCTAAAAATGGTGAGCCGAATTAAAGATGAAATCACTGCCTATTATTTTGGGATCCGACTTAGTCCATATTTTAAAGACAACCTGTGTAAAAAAAATTTCTGATTTCTACGTTGCCAACATTTAGTTGTTACAAAAACAAAATATGTTTTCGTGAAGCCATTCTTTAATATGGGCGTTTGAAAAAAAATAATGTCAGTATCTCGGTAAAGTAGAATTATTCACCTAAGGACAAACGACACTGCTAAACTGTAAATATCTCCCAGCAGTGGACCTTGAGAAATGTACCACTATCTGTTAACCATTACAAAAAAGTGAGCGTTACCAATTCAATTTTTTTAGTGTAAAATTTCATATTCCATATTGTGTAAAAACTCAAGATTCTCTAATCGCACTAAATGAAATTGTACATACTAGTTAGTTCTTATCTTCTATTGTACATCCCATACCATTCCACAATTTAGTTCAATACGAGTATTTTAATAGAAAAATAAATGCCAAATGTATTTCAGTTTTAAAAGTACCACGGCGTTTTTATAATAACTGGGGTTGAAATGGTTTGAAATTAGTGTGCGTTAATGTTACGTGATTAGAAAATTATAAGAACCTTCTACAGGGTGGTCAAAATTTGCAAATATCAAAAATAAAAATAATATAAATGCATTTCTCCCCTTATTACAAAAATGTTTAGTGTGTGTTAGATTTTAAAGTCAAATTTCTTATAAAAAGCGAATAAAAGGAGGTGTATTCCCAGGACAGATCAAAACTACTGTAACTTATGAAAAAAAGCCGTTAATTTCGAGTCCATTTAAAACGAATTTAGAGTCTAACATACCAATTTTAAAAATACGTACATACAAAATCCGTGTCACATTTTTTTTTGACACATCCACTATATGTAGATTTTATTTAGTAACTTGTAAAAAATCTGAACTCTTTATGTCAATTTTAACAGGTACCTAACCTCTCTTAACCGAACCTAACCTATAAATTGTATATTTATCGGAATTCAAAAGAAAAAAAATTGTGACACGTTTTTACAATACCCATATTATAATTTTTACATGTACATATTTCGCATCTAACATAAGATACTTAAAGATAAGCATATTTAAATTCACATTGTGTGGATTGGTTGCGCGAGACAGAGTGAGAGAATGCTGTGATGAAAGAGATATACTATCGTTTTAATTTTATGTGCTGTACAGAGCTGTATCTTTTTATTGTGGATAAGACACGTCAGATATTTTAAAAATAGCGATTATGTAAAATAAATGATAACTCTTACTTTTCTTGTTATGTAGGTACTTCATTGTTTTATTTAATAAACTAAGCCAATTTTCTGAAAACCCCTGTATGTTTTTCTATAATTAATTTTCATCCAAAAAAACTAACATTCTATCCTATTTTTAATGAATGTTAATAAAGCTAGACTTTTCCAAGATAGTGATGGATTCCCAACAATAAATAGTGTAACAGAAAATTATACGGGGTGTTCCAGACCTCCCGTGCACTCCTTGCAAAATCAAAGTACATGGTTACTGGTCTCCAAGGGCACACCTTGTCTGTGACCTTGAATTTTCAAAGTCAACTTAGTTTTTTTAAATGGAAACCCTTATTTTCAACCCCGGATTCAGAAAGAGCGGAAAATTCTACAATCAGATGATGTGTGGGGTGAAAGTCAATTTTTTTTACTGAATCTTTTCACCCAAATGACCACGCAAGTTAAGGTTTATAGAAAAATGTGTCAGATAAATGTTGCAAAATTTTGAAGTTACATATTTCGCTAACCTTGACATGTGACATTAAAACTTTAGAAGAAGACTTGCAGAAATGGTGTACACCAATGAAGAAACATATGACACGTTACAAATTTATTTTAAAGCAGGGTCATTTGCCGTTGATGAAAGACTGGCGACAATGTTATCCCGACAGATTTCCTCATTCTCGGAGTTTTTTCTGCAACCTCATCACAATAAAGAGTTAATCGTCGACGAGTTAGAGATGAACTATCAGCAGATATTTGGGTGGAAAGATTTGGTAAAAAAAAAATTTACCTTCACGTGATCATCTGAACATAGAATTTTTCGCTCTTTCCGAATCCGGGGTTGAAAATAAGGGTTTCCATTTAAAAAACTAAGTTGACCTTGAAAATTACCTTCAAGGTCACGACAATACATGCCCCTTGGAGACCAGTAACTTTCATCTGAACCATTTTTCACATAACCATGTACTTTGGATTTTAGAAGGGGTGGACGGGTGGTTTGGGACACCCCATATATTATTAAAAAACCTATTTGGATTTAAAATCACTGAAAGATATTTCAGAGAAGTAACTTATAGCCTCTAATTCATGTTGACCATCAAAATTATTTTTTCCTATTGCATAATAAATATAAAATATACTAGCCCTATTTTAGTTCCCTGAGGAACGCCATAGTGCTAAATTTAAGCAAAATTAGATATTTCGATTATGTTTTAAGGAAGAGGTCAAAGTCAAATCAAATAGTTGATAACGAATTAAATATATTTGTTTTTAACATGTATTTACAAGTGTCAACAAAAATTTAGCTATTTATCTTCTAGGCGGCAGGACTATTTTCTTGTTGATACACCAGGGACCAGTAATAGCCTCTCAATTTTTTTAGGGACTCGTGTGTTCCGGTCTAAAATATAAAATCCGTTATATCTGAATTAGTAAAAAAAACATGTTGTTTCGATACCTCGACAATCTTTCCTTTGTGTAAAACGACAATGATGTCAGCATTTTGAATAGTCGACAGTCTATGAGCAATAACTATCACCGTTCTGCCTCTCCTGGCTTTTTCCAAAGCTTCTTGTACAATTTTCTCGGATTCGGTATCTAGAGCACTGAAATAAAAACGTTCTTAAGAGGCTTATTCAAAGTATTTGCAAATGTAAATCTATTTTCAAGAATACGAGGCATATCCGCAAAGTAGGAGCACTGAGACTCTGGTGTTCTGTGGTTTTTGTTTTTGACAAAGTTGGCAACGCTGCATTCAAGGCCAAGGTGTTGGGTGCAGAACGCATGCTCATTTGTCTTAGCCAGTTGAGAACTGTTGTTGTAGTGGCATGTTGAAATGACCAGCACTATTCTGAATCCCGCCAGTTGCTAGGTGAGGAACGTAATCTAGTTTCTTCTTGCAAAGGGAAAGGCACTGTTCTAGATTTTTAACGAAATCAAAATCATATACAATATTTTGCACAAACATTTGGGTATGAGAAAACTGTTTTCCAAATGGGTGCCATGTTTGTTCACATTGGAACAAAAACAATGTTTAAACCTGGGTCATTCCATGTCAAATATCGACCAATGGTTGGAATCGACCCCTTTCAATTTGGACAAAACTTGGTCAAAAGTTTTCCTTTATCATAAAGCAAAGATCTGCCAAAGTAAAAATTGAAAAATTTTTTTTCCAAAGTTATTCAAAATTCAAAATTTTACTATTTTTCCAATTTTTCAAGTTTATTTTTTAAATATCTCGAAAACTATTGTAGTTACAGAAATGAGCTTTTGTTTGTTTTAAAGAGGATACTTGGGGCTACGAAAAAAATATATATTCCGAAAAATAACTTTGAAAAATAAAAAATTTGTAGAATTTTTAATTTTTAAAAATTGTCAAATTCGACTATCGACATTAAATTTTTGGCTCCATTTTTTTTATAAAATACCTTAAAATGATCTTAAAAGGTACTGAAATTTTCAGTGCTTGAACTTTTTCCTGCTCAAAATTACAAAATTACATATTTTCTTAACTTTACTTGACTTGGCGATTAAAAAAAAATTTTTTTTTGACAAAATTCAAAAATTCATATTTTTGAAAAAAACGCAGCTGAAAATTTCAGGACCTTTTAAGATCATTTGAAGGTATTTTATAAAAAAAATTTGATCCAAAAATTTAATGTCGATAGTCGATTTTGACGATTTTTAAAAATTCAAAATTCTACAAATTTTTCAGTTTTCAAAATAATTTTTCAGAATATATATTTTTCCATAGCCCCTCTTTAAAACAAACCCAAGCTCATTTCTATAACTACAATAATTTTCGAGATATTTAAGAAATAAATTTGAAAANCGCCAGTTGCTAGGTGAGGAACGTAATCTAGTTTCTTCTTGCAAAGGGAAAGGCACTGTTCTAGATTTTTAACGAAATCAAAATCATATACAATATTTTGCACAAACATTTGGGTATGAGAAAACTGTTTTCCAAATGGGTGCCATGTTTGTTCACATTGGAACAAAAACAATGTTTAAACCTGGGTCATTCCATGTCAAATATCGACCAATGGTTGGAATCGACCCCTTTCAATTTGGACAAAACTTGGTCAAAAGTTTTCCTTTATCATAAAGCAAAGATCTGCCAAAGTAAAAATTGAAAAATTTTTTTTCCAAAGTTATTCAAAATTCAAAATTTTACTATTTTTCCAATTTTTCAAGTTTATTTTTTAAATATCTCGAAAACTATTGTAGTTACAGAAATGAGCTTTTGTTTGTTTTAAAGAGGATACTTGGGGCTACGAAAAAAATATATATTCCGAAAAATAACTTTGAAAAATAAAAAATTTGTAGAATTTTTAATTTTTAAAAATTGTCAAATTCGACTATCGACATTAAATTTTTGGCTCCATTTTTTTTATAAAATACCTTAAAATGATCTTAAAAGGTACTGAAATTTTCAGTGCTTGAACTTTTTCCTGCTCAAAATTACAAAATTACATATTTTCTTAACTTTACTTGACTTGGCGATTAAAAAAAAATTTTTTTTTGACAAAATTCAAAAATTCATATTTTTGAAAAAAACGCAGCTGAAAATTTCAGGACCTTTTAAGATCATTTGAAGGTATTTTATAAAAAAAATTTGATCCAAAAATTTAATGTCGATAGTCGATTTTGACGATTTTTAAAAATTCAAAATTCTACAAATTTTTCAGTTTTCAAAATAATTTTTCAGAATATATATTTTTCCATAGCCCCTCTTTAAAACAAACCCAAGCTCATTTCTATAACTACAATAATTTTCGAGATATTTAAGAAATAAATTTGAAAAATTGGAAATATAGTGAAACTGAATATTGAATAAC